GTGGTTAAATACATATTAAGTCAAAAATTAAAGTATGGATGAAATATACATTAGTTAGCTGGCAAGACAGAATTAAGTACTTGATAAATAGGGATAAAGCAGTGATTAAATGTAAAGCAAAAATACAAATTAAATACATATTAAGTAGTTCTCAATTACATGTGTTAAGTAGTGAAGTATAAAAACATTTCCCAAGGGATGACGTCACTACAATCTGACCAATCATGAAGCACATGCTAAAATAGCTCAGGCTTGCGCGCGGAGCTAAAAAATAAATTTTCAATAAACTTTCATGGGGCACAGGGATATGCTCTCTTACTTCATATTCTCTTGATATGTAGTTAACATCTGTGTCTAACTGTAAAATATCGAATAATCTTAGTGACTAATGGCTGTTTTTTTCTTAGTATCGTATCAGTTTTTATAGAATGCTTTTCTAGTAATTAAGCCTAACACTGTACTTGTATGTGTAGGCATCCATCTGATTGGAATCTGTCCGGCGTAGTCAATCGAACACATCCTAACAAAATACCAATCGAACTCAATCAAATACCAATCGTTTGATTGATTTTGATTGAGTTCGGCAATAGGCCCTTTGCAGCTAAGCAATCACGCGCTGATTAATTCACTGAGAGCAAATGAATGAACATTTTGATTGCCATGGGTGAAATTTACTGGACTGCAAACAAACTTTCTACAACCTGTTTCGAGAGATCGTAATAAAACTGCTTTCCGTAACACACTGGATACACATGTTCGATTTTGTTCGATTGTCTTATAGTTCGATCTCCAAACGTTCCATTTTTTTCTATTGGTAAGGCCTTGCTGTGAGTTCCATTGCGTCCGATTGACGAACTCAATCAAAATCAATCAAATGATTGGTGTTTGATTGAGTTCGATTGACAAACATTCGATTGACTACGCCAGGAATCTGCAAGCATAAACATATACATGCATGAGAGAGGATTGGTTACAACAGTGTTCACGTTACTGTGGCCCAGAGAATTTCAGACTAGACTTGCTTGATTTGGCTTTCATATTTACCAATCAGATGTCCAAGTTGTTAAGGTTATGTCATAAACTTGATAAGCACTCTTAACTAATATCAATTCCACTTTCTCAGAAAGGTTTAAACTTCTTCTGAAACTACGAAATACTTATTATTTTACTATGTTCTTTTAGGAATCTGAAGGACAGGGTACATGTGATGGTACATTTAGAAATAAAAAATACTTTGATTGTCCACAAGATCAGGGTGTCTTTGTTGCATTGGATAAACTGCGTCCTCGGCAAGAACAGAAAAAGTCTCGGTTCAAGAATACTTCTATAGTTAGAAACATGGAAAAAGAGCTTAATTTAAAAATTGACCAGAGAGTCGTTGTATTTCCAGAGGATAATGGTGATAAAATCAAGGTGCCACTGAGAGGGACAGTGCGATACATATCTAAACGAGTAGATAGTCATGGTGATTGTCCTGTTGGAATAGAACTGGTAATTTAAACTTTACATATTGAATCATTATAGTAGACAATAGTGGCAACATAGAAGTCTTATTGATAGCAAATTTGGCAATCGCCCTCCAAAGGGAATAGTATTTTACAGCACCAGATATCCAGCCAAAATTCAAAAACAAATGTTTTAGCAATGCCAGGATCACTGACTAATGTTTTGTAGCATTGGTACTTGTGACCCATGTTCAGTGTCAGGCCATACACAGTTGTTACATCAGCACTAATGGGACCAACACGGTATATGTCTAGACATTAATTTTTATACGAGTTACCTTCAACATCTTATATATACCTATTTCAAAAAAAGGTTTTACGAGCCAAAGGTGAAAGGGAATAGGCAATAAGCAATTGAAGATAGGTCATTCCAAAATCCAAGAATAGCTCAGGAATGACTTGTGTTATTGCTTCTTATTCTTGTCAATAATATGAAGGCTGATGTTGAATTCCACATTACTGTTGGTATACAATACAGAATCCCATAGCTGATTACAGGTTGGATCTTCAGAGTAACAAATTGACTGACTTGATCACTTCAAAATTGTTTTATTTTTAGGATAAAAGAAAAGGAAGTGGTACTGGAGTTTTCAATAGAAAACAACGATTTGTCTGTAAAGAGGGTCATGCATTGTTTGTGCCAGTAACCTCTGTCTTACCCGAGGAAGAATATGATAGCTCTGAACAAGCCAGCATTTACCCAGTTGCTAAAAAATTAGCCAACCCTGGATCCAGAAAATTTGGTAAGTTATACAACTGTTACTGATGTAATCTTATGAAATATGATATATAGAGGATATTACATGGGCGCGCGGAGATAC